ATGTAAATGATCTCCATATTTATTTTAAAGTACAAACCATGATTATAATATTTTGGAATGTATTGTTATAGTAAATATTAAAGGTTTAATGTTTGAACAGGAATTGTGTTGATTCATTGTGTCAGTTTGGATAGGCTATATGATAATAACGTTAATGCACCGCCTTTTCCTCGGTGTATATGGTGTCATAAATGCATGGTCAGCTGCTATAACCACCTCATAAACCACCTCGTTCGCTTCGCTCACTCGGTGGTTTATTCGGTGGTTATAGCAGCTGACCATGCATTTATGACACCATATACACCTCGGGGCGGTGCATTAACCCTTTATTAGAGGATAAGCACGCACGAAGGATATAACGTTATAAGTGCCAAACCTTTTCAAACGTCTTGTAAAATACCTTTATTTTTCAGATGCGAGAATATAACTTGTGCCTGACTTGAGTTCACAGTCACTTTATAGGTCTGTGTCCTGTGTCTTTGTGTTCATTGCCGTTTTTCTGAATAAAAAAAGTGTATTTTATTATTCATTGCCTTTTTTCTAATTAAAAAAGTGCTTGCCATATATGTGTACTTCCATAACCTCCTTTAGGTTCGTTGACTCCACTGTAGTTAAAGCTCGTCTTCGGTATCCTGACATGACATATGATCGTAAAAATGGTTTAGCGCCAAACGTGAGCAATCAGCAACAACCCAACGCCTTGCCCGAATCGATGTTTATGGATACTGCCTCCACAGACACCTTTTCCCAATTAAACTCGCCCTCTAGTTCTCTTGTTGACACGACATCAGTCTTCTTGTCTCCACCAGAAACCCTTCAGGGTGCAGATGCACAGAACAAGCTCACACAGAAAATCTAGCTGGGACCTTTTCTGCGAAACGTATCGCCCTCTCTTGGCCAATTTGTATTTCGTATTCAGCCCGAAGGGAACTCTAATGGAGCGTTGCATTCTCCTGATAACGTCACTTGCCTAGTAAAAATGACAGTCCACTTTTACAAATTTGCCACAAAGGACCTTCTCTGGAAAGACTTTGCCCTATCTTCACCAGTTTTACTGTTCATTTTGCAGTGAAAGCTCTATCTATTTTTGCCACCTTCCAGTGAGAATCTCCAAGACTATGTTTTATAATAATCCAGGTCAGAGAGCCGCCAAAGAGGATCTTCTTCGCCAAAAAGCAGTTACTCAAGCAACTCATATTAACGTCACTTGCCTAGTAAAAATGACAGTCCACTACAAATGTGCCACAGAGGACCTTCTCTGGGTCCAGAAAGTCTTTGCCCTTTCTTGGCCAGTTTTACTGTTCGTTTTACAGTGAAAACACTATCAATCTTTGCCACCTGCCAGTGAGAAACTCCCAGGCCATGTTTTATAATCAGCCAGGTCAGAGATCCCGCCAAAGAGGACCTTCTTCGTTTAGTTAACATTTTGTCACAATTATCGATCAGTCTGTGTTGTTTACCCAACCGTAGTCGTGAGTCCACTGGGATTAGGTGGCTGTCGAAAGTCCATCACATAAACAGGAAGAGGTCAAGGTAGAAACTCTGATGTTTTCTTAGATGGAATTCGGTGGTAAACGTACTGTTAAATCGCTAGCCATTGCCTTGGGTGTTAGCTGGTCTTTCGCATTACAGCTTTAGTTGCAGCAAACCATTGCAAAATACCATGTCATATATAACCATTGGCAATGCTGTTTGGCAACATAAGCCTTGTTGATGGTACGACATCGTGCATTTCTCCTGGACATACGGTGCTGGAGATTACTGTCCATTATAAGGCCACACCAAGTAAATTTTATGGATGACGTCCTTTGGAGACCCTAAATCTAATGCGAGAGGTTGAAAAAAAAACAAGAAGGGCCCTAAAAAACAAGATGCCTAGATTAGAAATATACTAAGAGACGACAAATGTTAGGACACAATTTGAATGAGGTGACACAGTGTAACAAGCAAGAAGTCTTTTATTCATCATCAAAACAGCAATAAATCAGGTGGAACAGCAGTTGTCGTCCTGTGAGTTTGGGGAGATAGATGGAGCGGTCAGCAAGTTTCTTCAAATGTGGCTGCATGTACCAAACTGAATTCCTAATGGAAGTCATGATTTCCTTGCTTGATGCTTTGGTCCGTACAAACCTATTTGCGGCACTGTCGTGACTCTTTGGTTATAGTTACAGGAAGCGGAATTTCTTGGTTTTTTTTCTAGGAACAGGCCAAAATCAATGCGCGCGCGGACGTCATCCATAAAATTTACTTGGTGTGGCCTAATGTAACATTTTATTACTTTTAGATCCGTATCTCTGCCTGCCTGACCGAACCCCCTGTTGTTTCTCTGGCCTATGGTCAACAGTTATGTTTCTTCCAGAATCTCGTTATTGGCTGTTCTCACACTAATAGAGCATTTGTCACTCTTGCTTTTTCGTTCCATCTGACTTGTTTGTCGCTTCGTCTTTCTTTAATACAAGTTTACAACTTCTATGGCCTTGAATGTTTATCCGTACCGGACAGAGAGCTCGCGAGACAGAAGACACAGTGGAAGGAGATAAAGAAAGACTGAATGCAGCAGCAGGACATTTTCTCACGACTAAAGATGCAGAATGCAGTGGCTGATGATGATGAGTTTACAACTTCTCTGGCCTTGAACGTGAATCCGTACCGGTTTACTGCGAGATTTCCGAACTGCAAGGTAACTTGTATTAGTGGCACATCGCTGCATCAGTCTTCCTACGCGGGGGATTTTTGTCCTTTATTGCTTTGTAAATCTATGTAGAAGTTTTTTGCCTGAGGTTCTTTGATAACTGTTGATCTTTATTGGCTGTGAGCTTGAACGGACTTTCACCCACAACAATAATTACGGTTGTTTATAAAAGACTGAACAAAAAGATTTGAGTGATCAACCTTCCCTCCTACAAGTCTGATTTCAGGGTAGGTAGGGTAGCTAGATTTTAGTCAAAGGTCTTATCATCACTTTAGTGTATACGTTTTTGACACCACAGCGGCAAACTACAGCTATTTTTTAAAGCAATTGTTTTCCCAAGGATGTTGTCTAATCTGCCCCTATGCAAACCAGCGCATGTAACATGATAATTTCAACAATAGATTCAGACATGTAATATGTTGTAGTGTTTAATGATCAACAACTTTATTGTTATGATAGCAGTTAAACTTTACTTAACCAACACCAAGTAAATTGGGACTTACCCCAAATTTTCGACTCCGTCAGCCTTGTTCACGGAATGGACCCTTCTACTACAGCTTCCGGGACGTGACGTCGGAAACACGTGGTTGCAGCAGAGGGTCATACATGTACGTGGCAGATAACCTATGACTTGGTGTTGGTTAAGTAAAGTTTGTTATATACCAACACAGATGAACTTTCATGCTAATAACCTTTATTGTTAGTCTCCGACTCGGTCTCTTTTTACTAATGATGTTGTCTGATTCTTATATATGCAAATCACTATCATATGGTGATTTCCTTTGTTTTGTGATCAAGTAAACCCACCGGACCGGTTTTACCCACCCACCCAGTCCCTATATAAACGCGTCCCTGACTGCTCTGTTTCTGTCAGTACTGACTCTGCAGCCGTGAGGATCTGTGTCGTCGTGAAAACATCGTGCAGTACTTTGGAGCGTCAGTGTTTCTTGGTAAGTGTCGGCTATGATTTGGTTTCCTCTATTCATTTGCTATGAATACTGCGATGTGGCATCTTGTTGCTGGTGCATAATATAACGGGTGTTGTGCATGCATATTGAACGATATTAGGTAAGTATGCTGGAGTTGTAGTCCAGTGTAAAGTGCCTTTCCCTAGGGCACAAGATTGGTGGCATCGGGCAGGATTCGAACCCTCGCCCTCTCGAGTCTGGGCCGAAAACGCTACCGCTACGCCAACGATCCCACAAATGGTATCCAGTGTGGTAAATATGCTATGCTATGTTTTACTGCTATATAAACCAGATCGAGTACATGTTTAGATCCATTTATCAATATACCGGGTTCTCAATTCCTTTAAACATATGGCATGCTATGCTTTACAATGTTCCTTTAAACACATGCTATACTTTACAATGTTCCTTTTAAACATATGTCTCGTTTAGATGCATTTGTCAATATAACCGGTGTACATGTATAACAGATTCCAAATCCCATTAAATTGACAAGTTATGCTTGTTCCTGCAGGTTTACGAGTTTGACCAACATGGCGACCAGAGCTAAATCTCATCTGAAACAAGAGGAGGGTTCTCCGCGTACACACAAGTGTAGCGAGTGTGGCAAGGAATTTCCTTGTCAGAGTCAACTGATGCGACACATTCGGACTCACACTGGAGAGAAACCTTACGAATGCGGGGAGTGCAGCAGGCGGTTCAGTCATCTGAGTAGTCTGAAGGCTCACATGAGAACTCACACCGGCGAGAAACCCTACAGGTGTGAGGAGTGCGGCAAGCAGTTCAGTCAGCTGTCAAATCTAAAGACACACATGCGGATTCACACTGGCGAGAAACCCTACATGTGTGGAAAATGCAGCAGGCAGTTCACGAATCTGGGTAATCTGAAGGGTCACATGAAAGTCCACACCGGTGAGAAGCCCTACAGGTGTGAGGAGTGCGGCAAGCAGTTCGCTAGACTGACAGATGTAAGGCGACACATGCGGATTCACACAGGCGAGAAACCATATAGATGTGAAGAGTGCGGCAAGCAGTTTAGTCAACTGTTCAGACTAAAGACACATATGTCGTCTTGCACAATGAAAGCCGTACACGTGTGGAAAGTGCAACAAAGCTTTCGTTATTCAAGTGGGTGCACACTTACACCGACGAAAATTTGGTTATAAGCCTGTGTAGAAATTTCACAAAGGGGACTGTAGCAAGGTCTGTATTTGATGAACGGACTGGGTCGTTCCCTGTGTTATCCTTTTATTCTTTACCAATAAGAACTCTTCTTTACTGTGTTTTTTTTTTTTTTAGTTTTGTACTCTCTACATGACTCCAGTCACCCGATATCCAGTGTAATACTAAGAATAAGAAAACGTAATTTTTTAACGATCGTTGTATGCTCTGTACATGTATATAGACCGTTGGTTAGAATTAGTTAGCAGCATACGTGTTAGTTCTAAATGCATAAAAATGTTGGTAAATATTGTTTGTTTTCCAAGTGTTCCGTAAAACACATATGTAGCTGTTAGAGATTTGTTAACTTTCTGCATCTCGCCAATAAATGAAAACATATAATGTGTTGTCTTCTTTATTGTAACATGTACAAGTATAATTTCAACAATAAATTCAGACAAGTACCGTAATATGTTGTTGTCTTTATTGATCAACACCTTTATTGTTAGTCTCCGACCTGGTCTCTTTTTACTACGAATGATGTTGTCTGATTCTTGCCTAATATGCAAATCAGCATTGTGATTTCCTTTGTTTTGTGATCAAGTTAAACCCACCAGACCGGTTTTACCCACCCACCCAGTCCCTATATAAACGCGTCCCTGACTGCTCTGTTTCTGTCAGTATTGACTCTGCAGCCGTGAGGATCTGTGTCGTCGTGAAAACATCTTGCAGTACTTTGGAGCGTCTGTGCGTCTTGGTAAGTGTCGGCTATGATTTGGTTTCCTCCATTTATTTGCTATGAGGACCATCATGTACTATCGTTTCGAGTTTTGAGTGCTATGTCAATATAACGTGTTCGCACGTGCACCAGATTCTCAATTCCATGAAATATGACATGTTATACTTCACAATGTTTCTGCAGGTTTACGAGTTTGACCAACATGGCGACCAGCGCTACATCTCATCTGAAACAAGAGGAGTGTTCTCCGCGTACCCACAAGTGCGGCGAGTGTGGCAAAGAGTTTCTTTGTCAGAGTCATCTGATGCGACACATTCGGACTCACACGGGAGAGAAACCTTACGAATGCGGGGAGTGCAGCAGGCGGTTCAGTCATCTGAGTAGTCTGAAGGATCACATTAAAACTCACACTGGTGAGAAGCCGTACAGGTGTGAGGAGTGCGGCAAGCAGTTCAGTCAGTTGTCAAATCTAAAGACACACATCCGGACTCACACTGGCGAGAAACCGTACAAATGTGAGGAGTGTAGCAAGCAGTTTACTAGACTGGAAAATTTGAAGAAACATTTGCGGACTCAGAACCGGCGGTCGCATATCAGAACCCACAAAGGTGAGAAACCCTACACGTGTGAGGAGTGTAGCAGGCAGTTCAGTGAGTTGGGTAATCTAAAGAGACACATGCGGACTCACACTGGGGAGAAACCCTACAGGTGTGAGGAGTGCAGCAGGCAGTTTAGTGAGCTGGGTAGTCTAAAGAATCACATTAAAACTCACACCGGCGAGAAACCGTACAAGTGTGAGGAGTGTAGCAGGCAGTTCAGTCGGCTGGGTACTCTGAAGACTCACATGCGGACTCACACCGGCGAGAAACCCTACAGGTGTGAGGAGTGCGGCGGGCAGTTCAGTACCCTGGGTAATCTGAAGAGACACGTGCGAACTCACACTGGTGAGGAACGGTACAAGTGTGAGGAGTGTGGCAAGCAGTTCGCCAGACTGGGAAGTTTGAAGAAACATTTGCGGACTCACAGAGTGGAACAATCGAACAAGTCTTAAAAATGCAACAGAAGCTTTTGCTAGAGTGCGAACTTGAAAACTCAAACCGACGTAAACCTGCCAATGTCTTTGTAAAAGCTATCGAGTGGGGCCATTTTATATGTCCTTACTGTTTGATCTCACTGTTATTTTTATGCAAACGAAACTGCTTTTTTTTTACTTTTTTTTACTTTTTTTTATGTCAGTAGTGTACTCTCTAGATGACTCCGCTGTAAAGTTAACAATATCGGTGATTTTATATCACGATCGATACATGCTCCGTAGCCTGTTGATTAGAGCTAGAAGCCGTAGGTTAAATACGACAGTGTAGTATTGAGACAATAGTTACATGGTAGGACGCCGTTCGTTTAACGTCAATGTGCCATTTATCAATTCTGTAATAGAACTTAGTCAATTATATGTAGTTTTAGTATCTGTAAATATATTGTATGTTTAACGTCGCCACATGTTAGTTATTAGTGTATGTTAGTTATGAATGTTGTTTGTTTTCCCATTGCTCTGTAAGGTAGAGGTAGCTTTGGTAGATTGACAGAACACTTTTTACGTCTTTGTTTCAATAAAGCGCGTTATGTGTCATATTTATTGGTCACCATCACTCTCTTTTCTTTCCAAACCGTCAGGCGAAAATTAATGCGCGCCCTGATGTCATCCATAAAAATCACTTGCTGTGGCCTTACTGTATGTCGTTTGTCACCCTTGAGTTGCCACTCCATCTGACCTGTCGCGTTGCATTCTGAACCGTCTTTCTAGCTTTAGAAGCAGTTTTCAACTTCTCTGGCCTTGAACGTGAATCCGTACCGGTTTACCGCGAGATTTCCGAACCACAAGGTAACTTGTATTAGTGGCACATCGCTGCATCAGTCTTCCTACGCGGGGGATTTTTGTCCTTTATTGCTTTGTAAATCTATGTAGAAGTTTTTTGCCTGAGGTTCTTTGATAACTGTTGATCTTTATTGATTTCCGTCACCCGGGGGTTTTCTGTCCTTTGTTGCTTTCTAAATCTATGAGGAAGTTTGTTGCCTGAGTTTCTCTGATAACTGTTGATCTTTATTAGTTTCTCTGTCACTGATGTAGTGTTTCCATACGATTTTTAACGCGATTTAATGCACATCGATGTCGCTACTCCTAAACTACATCTGCATCTCGACAGCCGGTATATCCACCCTTCAGCGTATATCGTCGTTGATAAATGTGTACATATTTGTACATAAACATTGTCAAGATAGGCTGAAGGTAGAAGTTATTGGGTAATATTTTAACGTTTTTCTTATCGTTCAACATCATAAAGCTAGCGAGGAGGCAATAAAAGTTACGATTATATGTTTCTACATCCGCTCTAAGATTTCGCTAGAGGCACTTTTTTATCCCCTGTTTACTTCTTGTACAAACCTCGTAAATTACACCTACGTTCTAATCTCAAAGCAGATTCGGCGGGGCAAGAGGACTTTATGTTGGCCGCCTGTATTCAACGTTCGCCCCATGTGGCTACGTTGGCTACGTTCTACACCGTACCCACGTTCGAGCAGACTTTTATTACACAACTATTAAAGAATGGAAGGCTCCGATCCAAGGAGATTCTTCAGCACTTGGGACCCAGCTCTGGAATGCTGGAATTGGTTTATGAACTACAGACTGCATTTCTATATCAGTGTAACATGTTATGATCAGCTCAGATAAGATACTTAAATTCTTCCAGCGGAGAACGGCAAGACATAATGCTGTACAAAAGAGCACAGCAATGTGAAATGTAATATTCCATTATAACATATATACATGTATTGAAGTTAGATTAGTACAATAGTAGAAATAGTTAATAGTTAATAAGTGTTATTTGGCATACATCGTATCCAATGCAATTGTTCCGCAATAAACTTGACTTGACTTGACATGTGAAACAACATTCGTATTCTAGCACGATACCTTTCACACATGAGAAGAGAATATACATGTATTGAAATCGACATATCTCGTACACTTCAGTGATTTATTTGACAGGATGCGGCATGTCAACTGACTTCATTCCTCATCACCAGTGACACTTTCCGTAACAACCATCATTAATCCGGATACATGTCCTCATATCAACGCCCGCGTCTTCCTGTTTTTACACCATCACACACTCTATATGTCTTCGTTAAGGCTATGCTGATTTGATTGTATGGTTGACATCCTCTGGGAACTCTGCGTGCGAATAGAAAAAAAGGTTTGGCAAGAAAAGAATTGCCTTCATTATATGAAATCTACGTGATCATGAAGGTTGAAGAAATGACCAAACATGATATGGCGAATAATAGACTCTTCATTTTCATTCTTTACAATTTTGGTCCTTTCCTTTGAATTGATGCTGGCATTCTACGACATTAGTATCGTTTTCCAATATTTTTACACACATGTTACGGCATATATTTGCTCATTTTGTAGCTGATTTGTACTATTTACAGCATGGTCAAAAACCTTTTTTTTTTTGGGAAACGGACAAAAATTCATACGGACGCGGATGTCATCCATACAATCAAACCCATATGGCCTAATGGTATATTCACATTGCCCCCAATTCATGGGGCCAATTTGATTTATCTTCCCGTTGCTTTGATATGTGGTCTAACGACGTGTCTAGTTTGTAGTTTATTCCTGGGCAATCAACGTGCTGCTCTTCTGGCCCTGACCTGTGTGTTACTGGATGTTCGTAAACAGGAAATCCTTGAAATCGATTCACTGACTTTCCTCGCTTCATTTCCTTCATCAAATTTTGATGAAACATTTTGATGTCAACATGTTGAACAGACGAAGTTAGGATGGAGCTTAGGCTTCTTATATAAGCTTTGAAACTCGAATATCATAATAAACGTGAATATAACTTTGTTAATTGTTAATTACCAAGAACGTTGATATTGTATATACCAGGCTGGTCTGTTTTTAAGAATCATTTGTGTTTAAGTATGTAATAGGACAAGTAGTGTACAATTTAAATTACCATGAGTATTCAAATTCAGCATATGGCTGCTATGTGTTTTGGTTAATAAACCTTTATTCTATTCTATTCGATTCTATTCAACTTGCACAAAGCTTCGAATGAAAGCTCATCTGTGTTGGTAGAATGTGTTGTGTTGGAACAAGGCGTGAACTCTATAACTTTGTACATGTATCTACTAAGCCCTGTATTTATGCACAGAAATAGCTATTTCTGAGGCTTCAACGTGATTTGAGTTACTCAAACTTTGCACAAGCTTTGTTCGAACACAACCAGACGTGCAGCACACATCTGACGAAGGTTGACGAGATCTACCGAAAATTTATGGTGAGTTTACTTCTTGTGTTGGAACAAAGCTTGAACTCTATAACTTTGTTCAAGGCATGTTAACATTGACCAGAGGTGCAACCTCGCGTGGGTCTAGATCAAACGTTGGCAACAGTAAAAGGAAGTCTGCATGAATAATCTCCCTCCTTTCGTAACCCTAGGCCTCCTGGCTCCGGTACTCCTGCCCCACCTCTGATCCCAAGAGATCACATTTACTCGGGCGGTTCTACTCATGGGTACTTTATTACATGATGAATACTATTTGCAGGGACTCGGCGGGTCACGACCAGAAGAGCAGCACTTTGATTAGCCAGGGATAAACCACACTGATAATAACATCTGCGCGGGAGTTTTTAGTCATGAAAACTTGCCCTGAAAAAAAAAGAATGTTTGGTGCTTTTAAAGTAATTCTGCTTCTTTCAAAAAGTTCGCGAACTTTATTTATTCATTAGCGTAAAGATTGCCCAACTAACACTAGTTGCAGCAACAACAAAGCCAAAATGATCTGCGTTTCTAGTCATGGGTACATAATACATGGCCTTGAGGAAGAAAGAATGTTTGCTGCTTTTAAACTGATTCTACGACTTTTCCGCAAGATTTGTATTCATTTATTCGTTAGGTTGAAGATTGCCCAACTAGCACCAGATGCAGCACCATGCAGCAATGTGCAAAATGATCCTATACAAAAGTTAAACCCAGAACTTAAACGTCGTTGAGAATAATTTATTTTAAGACTTGCAGCTCATGCACTACATTGAGAGGAACTTAACCTCAATCTCTGCATGAACCATAATTAAGCCTCTGGATCCATCTCCAAATCTTCATCAACTGTTGCAGTTCAGGTCAGAACGCGGTCTCTCCTGGCCACGGAATCAGCCTCCAATGAATCACCAATTGAATCCGTAATCCACTTAAGAAGTCTAGAGTATCTACTAAACCTTGTATTAATGCATCTCTCTTATCAATGCATATAAACAGCAATTTTTCAGACTTCATCGTGGGTTTAGTTGCTCAGATCCTATTTAATGTGACGGTGAAAAGATCAAGGCAAGACCTCTATGTCTTAAGGCATTCCAGGTTAACCGTTTCTCTACAAGTTAAGGGCCGTCTATAAGAGATAAAGAACCCCTTCGTTTCGACTTCACAGTTTGAAATACTGCAGATTGACTGGCGAAAGACTTTTCTTCGATTTCTTTATGTGACCCAAGACTAGAACTAACATTTTAAGCTTCATCAAGAACTGGAAAACTGTCCTGGTCAGGCGAAGAAGCGGAAAAAATTCTCCAATTCTATCAGTAATGCACTTAAGTCTGAAGTACATGTATCTACTAAGCCTTGTATTTATGCACAGAAAATTAATAGCTATTTCTGAGGCTTCATGATTTGATTTGCTCAAATCCTATTAAATATGACGGTGAGGCACGGAAAATGCCTCTATGTCTTTATAGAGATAAAGGAGCCCGTCATCTGGACTTCATAGCTTGAAATACAGATTGAATGGCGAAAGACTTTTCTTCTATCTCCTTATTGTGGCCAAACTGTGAGGACACTGTATCAGTATTCCACCTACGTCTGGAGTACATGTATCTATTAAGCCTTGTATTAATGCACAGAAATAGCTATTTTGCAGGCTTGAACGTGGTTTGTGTTTCTCAAATCCTGTTTACCGTGCCGGTGAGGCACAGAAAAATAAAATACCTCAATGTCTCAATAAATTTTTCTTCAACTCAATCATGTTTCATGGGGTCTTTAAGGGTCTATTAGAGATAAATCGTCGTCTGGACGTAGCAGCTTGAAATACAGATTGACTGGCGAAAGACTTTTCTTC